GCTCAATGCTGATACTCTGTCAGGGTTGGAAATGAGATTGGTATTAGGGAACAGGTCTGCTTTACAGTCACTGCGTGCAGGCTTTGGAGCCTTATTGAGAGGTGAGTGGCAGGGGTCCACCCTGCTCACAGATGAAGGTGCCTGAGGGGAATTCAACCCTCAGTTTCTTCGATGTGGCTAGCAGAAGCTCTGGCGAAGCTTCATTTTATGCTCTTGGCAGTCATTGCAAGCAAAGAGAGGTCTTGCAGTTCCCCAGTCCTGACTTCTGGGAATGACCAGTGGAATGAATCCTAAGTGCACGTCTGGCCTTCCTGAAGGGATGAGAAAAGCATGTGTATGTACGTTGGGTCATGTCACTTGTCAGCTGCTCCAGCTTGTCCTGGCCCTTCTCCATTCCGCCATGCCATGCTTCAGGGATGGGAGTTTCCAGCCCTGGCTCAGGTACATTGGCTGAAGCTTACAAGGCAGATGCCACATTTGAACTTTGGAGATTTCCATCTTCCAGTGAAAACAAACTTATGCTGTGCTTGGCGGAGGATTAACAGGGTTTTTATGCGTGTGGGTGAAAGAGCTGTGCTCAGGCTAAAATGAGAGTCAGACTGAATTCTCTTCTCTTGGGAAACTTGCTCCTCTCCAGAAGCAACTTGCCAGGTGACAGGGCTGTGCGTGAAGTCTGCATGAAGGAGAGAGGAGCTGTGCGACCACAGCAAAGATTAGAGGGTTATTGTGAAAGTGATGTGGACTGGAGTGCAAGCCTTCTCCAGACCCGCTGTGCTTTGTTCTGCCGAATCAAGCTCCTCGAGGTTTCCTTTCAAATTCTGTCTGGAGCCTCTTTCCCCATAAGATCATCTTGTTTGTTGAAGTTTAAAAATCTGGCCTTGATCCACTCCTGATACTCCGTATTTCCTCATTTTATCTGATGTGTACCTCTTTTATTGCGAGTGCTTAATTATACCACCTTCTGTGCCCTTATTCCTGCCTGCCAGTATTTGAAGTGGGATGTGCTGAAACCTCTGAATTTGGCATAGAGTTTTTTTTTTTCTCAGTTTTCTCTGGAGATCTCAAGGGAAAATACATTCTTCAGTTCCAAATACTGCATTGTCCTTTCTTTATAACAAAGAGAAAGGTAAGTTTGAGCAGGGCCTAACAGAGTCAATCTGTCTTCTTCTGGGAGCTGTGGTGCAGACAGTTACACTGGAGCATAGTCCATCATTGCAGGCTGCCTGGTGAGACTTACCTGTAGTTTTGGGCTGCCCTTTAGCTGCGTCAGCAGGTGGAGTTCTGGGGACTCGGTGGGCTCCTCTTTAAAGAAGTATGTCCGAAAACACACTCTGAGGGTGTTTGCCAGGAGATAACTACATTCTAGGGAGCAACTCTTTTTGTCTTGCTAAAATCAAGGAAATCTGGTTGAAGTGCAGCCCTGCTTTAGACTTTTTCCCCTGCTTTTTGACTTTGTCCCTGACCTACCTATTGGGTCTTGCCATGCTGGTTGGAAGTAACTGAGACCATAGCGTTAGGCTATTTACCAAGCTGTTCACTTGAAAATAACCTTACTGTGTCCAGTCCACACCTGTTCGGGGATAATTCTGGAGGCAAATAACAAAGCACCATTAACCCTTCCAGCCATGAGCAATGTGTTCAAGATCTAACTGTAGGATGAGGTTATACCTCAGCCGATGCCAGGATGAATCGGGGAAGCAGGGTGTGCTTTAATCTCTGTGTCCGTCTCCCAGCTCCAGGGATGACTCCAGCCAACTGCTGAAGTCAGACCCACTCTGCGTCGACATCCAAATGAAGACGCTTTCGGAGACTTCCTTGTAAAAGTTCCTGCTGGGTGGTTGTTGGTTTGGTGTTGCCTCTGCTGGGCTAGAGGCTATACTGGAAAATATCTGTGTGGAGGGGTATTTTCTTTTGTTATCCCAGTGGTTGGTTCTGATTAAAGGATCTGTTTTGAAGGGGCTGCTAGTCAGTTGCCTAGAAAACTTGCTTTCATTTAATTAATCGTGATGAGTTTAGTCTGGAGGTTTTGTAGGAGAGAGCAAGCAAGCATATCCTTGGCTTCTTTCCCTTGGAGGAAGGCAGGGTTTCATGTCTGGAACTGCAGCTCTTTTGTCTCCCCAGGTCAACATCCGTCTCTGTCCTTCGGCTTTTTATTTTACAAGCCATGTGCTTGCAGAGGTAGATCCAGTTTGAAGTCCATCCAGGTGTGGAATGAGGAAAGAACCGTCAAGAAGATTACAGGAGCTATTCTGCAACTCATTAACTCAATCTCTTCCCCTTCTTGTTATCTCCTCCCCATGCCTGGGGCCTTTCGAACTAGTGCTCTAAGTGCTTCTCGCTTAATCTAGCCCACCTGGACAGGTGTATGAAGAAAGGAATTGCCTTCCGGGGAAAGGACTAAAGGAGCATAGATTGCAGAGGGAGTCTGCTTTTGGGAACGGCTAATCCCAGTTTAACATTATGACAGCTGCTTGTTAAAATCAGGGTGTTTTTTAACAGGCAGTTAAGGGAGAGGCTTTGCACGCACTTTTAGCTGAGAATAATAGTGAGCCATGTGCATTTGATTTTTTTTTCCTTAAATCATGCAAATTGTACATGGAAAGAATTCTACGGCGTCAACTTGCTGGGGTATGGAATTTACAAGGTTTGCAGTCACATACAGCTTCCTGTTTGGGGGGGAGACAATTACAAAGCTTTCTTTTTGTTTTATTTTCTGTTTTATTATATATATATTTTTAAGATCAAGTTCAAATCTCTTACATAAATCCAGCCTTTTTGGAAGGTATACTTGCTCTGGTGGTTTTCCCCCCCTCCCCCAAGCTGTCTTGGTGGCAGATTGTCATGTAAACTTGTCTAGGTTCTTGTTTTTATAGATACATGTAAAAACTGCTTATAAGCTACAATTTTGTGTATGGTGAGAAAGCAGCATGCAGATCTAATTTAAGAGAGTCTATATACAAAGAAAGAAGCAGAGGCTTCTTTGCCTTGGGGATTTTATGGTCAGGAAGGCTGTATCCTACAAAGATGGCTGGTTTTTTTCTACGCTGAACTTCAGTAAGCTTGGTCTATTAACATGATTTTCTCTGCAGGACTGTGGGGTTGGATAAGAAACATGAAGAACCGAGGCAGAGGAGGGACTATCAAACAGACATTTGCTGTATTTTATGTAATTTCACTGCAGACTTTACCCACCTGCCTCCCAGATCAGCGATTATTTGCTGGTTGGTTTCTTGTAGGCAGCACTGTGGAAGTAAGAACCTGTACGGCTCCTGCACAAGCCTCCCGATGAGCTCTAGGAAAGGTGTTCTTTTCTGCCAGACCTTAGGTATGAGGCATGAAGGGCAGGTCTGTGATGCGGAAAGGTGTAAAATTTCCCCAGGTAGTTCTGGTGCAGGAAATCCTTGTTCCTGTAGCTACTTAGGTCCAGGCAAATTAATTCAATCCACCAGGACTGAATAACTAAATTTGGTGTCAGTATCTGCCTGCTACATTTTTGGCACCTCTATCACAAATCGTTTGTGGATGAGAACACCTTTCCTGTCTCCTGGAGACATGCCAGTCTCTTGTGGCCTTTCCTTCAGCTGGCCCTATTGCCGGCACTGGTTACTTGGGATTTTCATGCGTGTTTCCAGATCTCCAGCTATTCCCTCTCTATTTGGGAGAAAACTGGCTGTTTCAGTGCTAGGGATGAGCTGGGAATTTTCCAGACGCGCGTCTGTAAAGGAGAAGCTTGTTCAGCAGTGATCTCCTCTTCAGACCAGCACAAGTTGGTTCAGCCTCAGTGGACTGATGCTGCCAGTCTGGCGCTGCCTCCTTTGCAGCGATAACGAACTGGCCCTCACCACACGGCCCAGAGGCAGTGTCTTGGTGGCATATTACTAATAGTCACAAATGTTTTAATCTTAAGGGCGTAACCCTTAAGCTATGGCATACGTTCCCTTCCCCCCAGCTTTAAAAGCTAGTGGGGGGAAGCTGACCTTTTCTTGTTATGGTACAGTGAGCAATGCTCTTTCTCTCCCCCACGGTCCCTTACTCACCAGGTTGCTGTCTTGTAGAACTGATGGGGTTGTGGGCTTTTTTGTATGGTTCTTTTTACATTGTATATACGGCTTTAGCTTTTGCTGATCTCTTCCTCTGTTGTGTAACGATAACCTTGCTGCTCCTCTCTCCTATTGTCATATCAGGCCTCTCACTTGCAAGGTCTGGGATGCTCGGTGGGTGCTGGCAAGCAGACCCAGTGGTGTATTGTTGGCGAGGGGTGCTGGGAGGACAGGAGACAGATTTTTTTAAGAGGGGGCAAAAAGTCTGAGGCTGTGGCTTCAGAAGCTGGAACCCAGAATTCAAGTGATGAATGGGGATACTTGCATGCATTTCTGTTTAGAGCAGATCACATGCTGCCAAGACAGGTTTTCTGCAGCTCTTATTAAAAAGGAGGCTGCTGCGTGTGTGTATGTGAACACACTTAAATGCTTATCTGCAGATCTGAGCTTTCTAAACTTGCCTCTGCTCTAATTGCAGAATGTAGACTGTGCACGCTGAACATCTGAGCCCGAAGTGATAATCCCAGGTTCAGCCCTGGGGGAATGCCTGGCGCTGCTCTGGCCTGATTTTTAATGGCTCTGCAACTTGCTGCTGGTTTGCAGAAGGCTTAAATTGTTATCCCTCAGCACCTTGCCCAACTTGGGCAAAGCTCTTGGGATCTCTGGTCCTCTGAGAATACCCGTATGTTGTGATTTTGCTCCCTCCTCCTGCCTCGTGTCAGGCCTGAATTGGGCTTGTGTCAGCTCAAAAGACTCGCTGAAAAGTGGTGCAATCCCAGCCTGTGCTCTCTGCTCGCACACAGAGGAAAGAGGGGAGACCTTGACTTCAAGTTTCCCCTCCTGCCTCATCTGAACAACCCTGCTTTGCTCCCCTGCCATGCGAACTGTATCTATGCAAGCCCCTCTCTTGCACTGGAGAACTGATGTTTCTCCTTGGCTAATAATCTGTGTCTGATTTAGTTTCCAGGCAGAGCGCCCTGCGTTAAATGTCGTCATTTTCCCTCTGCTTCATGAGGACTTGACAGAGGTCATCAGAGATGTCCCTATGAGGCACTTGGATGAAATTACCTTGTTTAAAAGCAGAGTGGCTGAGGAACCTCCCAACCTGTGGTGGTGACTGTCATGGCATGGAAGGGACAATTGGAGTGAACACACGGAAAATTTCTCGTTGGCCTGGCTTCCCCATCTTCAGCCTGTGGTTGCCTCACTGGATGCTCTGTACAATCACTTTAATTAGGTGCAATTGCAAAATAAAAAATGCTGGGCCTTTGCCATGAGGAAACATCGACTGGGTAATGCTTGCATCTGAAAATCCTATCTCCAAGGCTTCTGGAATACGATGAGTATTTCCTTGCAGTTAATAATGACTTGCTTTGTTATTTCACTTAAGTTAAAGGTAAGAGAAACTGACTTAATGATGCTCTTCCCCTGTGTTGCCTGGTGTAAGGCCCCTGTGTATTTAGGCAGTGTTTTGTGATATTGGTGGAAATTATTCTTTGCTTTGGCCTATTTTTGGCAAAATAGCAAGCCTAGGCCAGCTAAGAGGCACAAAAGTGTGTTGCTCCGTTGAAATGCATCACATCTTTTCTGTGTTACAAACATGCATTCATAGTCGCATACACATGCAGTCACAGATATTTAAAGAGTTTTTTGAATGAGAAGTACCTCAAGGACTCTTTTTTTTTTTTTTTTGGAATAACAAATCATGGTCATTCGTCCCTTGGTCGTGGTATATTCTTCTTGCTGATAATGTTTCCATCAGTTGGCCTGGTGGAAGAAGTTCTCAGCGGTTTTTGAAATCCTTGTCCTAGGGTCAATGGAGCCCACAGTGAGTAAGTTGAAGCTTAGATCTGATTTAAATGCAGTCTGTCTTGCAGTTTAGATGGGAATGTAGTGTTCCAGTTCTGTCCTTAGATCCCATGCCTTGAGCTCATGCTAATTTTAGAGATATTAATGAAATATTTTCAGTGTGATTTCAGACGGCTTCTCTGCTCCACAGAACTTCCTCAGGCATCAGTAGTGGTCTGGATCACTTTCATATTGCCTTATTTATTGAGCACTTTTGAAAGCATCAGACAGTTGTCCCAAAAGCCAAACTGCAAATTTCTGGCGTGACATTTCTGGGTGGCAGTCAGATTTCTGTTTTGCTGGAGTAGTTTGTGGTAGAACGCTGGGTTTGTCTTTTGCAAAACAGTTATCAACCTCAAGTTTATCCAATTTCTCTACCTGTAATCTCCTAAATGCTACCTAATGTGTTGAGTGGTTTTGCTGTAACGCTACTTTTCTGGGAGAGGCCCTGGGTTATCCAGAGATGATGTCCCCAGCTCCTCGTCAGCATTTTCTATGCAGAATGCCATCTCCTGAGCGCTGTTCTGTGATCAGTGGCTCCCAGGAAGCCTGGTTTGACAGGGGATAGATTTGAGAGCAAAATGCATCTCGCAGCTTCGGAGGACTTTCCCTCCTTGCTTTCCCATCAGTCAGGAACCTACCTGTCTGAAACTATGACTTGTTGGTTTATGTTTTGGGCGAGACTGTGGTATCTCTTATGCTCAGATAGGTTAATGTTAACATGCTCATTAATGCCGCAGCCTTTTATTAGCATAAAGTCTGTGCATTGCTAGAATTAACCGCGGGTGTGTTTGCTGTCTGCCTTTGGTTTCTCCCCCTTCCCTGGTCAGGACTGGGGGCCAGCAGCAGTCTCAGATTTGCAGCCAGGAGCTAGGTGGTGAGGAAGGCTTACAATTGCCCAGGAACGACTGCGTCTTCCTCACTGCCGAGCCGGGAGCGCTCCTGAAACGTTTGAGAGTCTCAGCCTCTGGTCAAATACCATCGTGGTGTGGGTGTGAGGAGCTGGTACCCTGCTCTTGGCATCCTGTGACTATTTTCTCTCTTGCTCTCCAGGCGAGGTCGTTCTTTCTACCTCGTCACCCTGTTTGCTTGCTTGAATCCCCCTCTCAACAGCTGCCCTCTCTTCCTTCCCCCCTTCAGCAAATCAGATGTGCTTTTTGGCAGGACTGCAGGCCCCTGCTTTGTGCAGTTCAGGCCACTTCAGCTCTGCCTGGTTTGTGTCTGGGACCCTTTCCTTGCACGAAGGAGGAGGGCTGGGCAGTGAGCGGTGTTTGAAGCATGACCAAAGCTGCATTCCTCTCGTGTCTCCAGCCTCAGGGCAGGGTAGAGGGAAGGCTGAGGGTTTGGAGGTGTGGAGCCAGCTCCCTAATGCTTCAGGAGACCTATTTTGTCCCGTGGAGGAATACTGACGTTTGGTACGTGCCGCAGGGGCAAGGCCTGTCCCACCCTGCAGAGGGATTTCCCCTCCGCGCGCACCCCGAGGCACCAGCAGGAGTCTGGCAGAACTGCCAGCTCGCTTGCTCCCGTCCTGCTGGAAAACCTGAGCTCGGGGATAGTGGTATGCACAATACCTGTTGCTTAATGCTGTTCTTAACCCTTTGGTCTTAAGGGTGAGGTTAACCTGACGAGTACGTGCTTTCCTTAGGCCTTTTGCTTGGCAAAACGATACCCATCTGGTTTTGTAACACCGCTATTCCGTTGCCTGGAGTACGATGTTTAGACATCTGTGTTCAAGGTAGCAGGTCAGTGGTCTTGATACGAACGTGCCGCTTGCAGTCGGGGCTAGGAAAGGTCACCCACAGGTGACTGAGTTAGCACCACAAATAGTGATAAAAAGCTAAAAACTTCTTCCAGCCTCCGTTCCCCAACTGCAGGCCAGTGCTCAGTATCTGTACTACAAATCCTCCTATGGTGAGTGAGAATTTCCGCTGCTTCTGCACTCCAGGCAGGATTCACCAGATGTTAATAATGTGCTTATTTTCTCTAAGTGCTATTTTGGCATCGGTGTTAATTACAATTTATATTCTGCAACATTTACACTGGGAAAAGAACCCACCCTAATAGTCCCCAATTGGCAGAGCCGGGCTATTAAACATAGCACCATATGTTCTGAGCAGAGCAATGTACGGGACTCGGAGCCCAGTCAGCGCTGAGGCTGCGGCGTGCGGCCTTAGAGGAGGAGAGAAGAACGGGGAGATTGGCGTTTTATTCTTAGTTTTTATTTGATACGAAATCCCCTCTTTGCTCTCTATCCCCATCTCTCCAGCAATCTCTCCCTGCTCTCTGTAAGCCTCTAAATGAGGTGATCTCCTGAGCTTGCTGATGCCACTGTCCGTAGTTTAAAACAAATGAATTCAATCGCAGAAGGTGCCCTTCTCGCAGGGGCTGCCTCTGCGAGATTCCTGGTCCCTGCTGGCACGTTTCTTGCTGCACTCCAAATCAGACCTCCCATCTTTGGAGACTGCAGAAGAAATCTTTGCATCGACCACCAAAGAGATTGCCACGTTTCTCTGGGAGAAGGATATTCTTGGGCAAGTGCAGCCGGTGGCTGAAATCAAAAGCCATTTGTCACTCTGTTAATGGCAGAAGTCTGTTTATCAATGTGGCTTTTGGTTCCCGCAGACTGGGAGGGTCTAGATGTGAAGAGTGACAGTGGTTTTGGGGTAGAGAGGTTTGACGGGAGCAAGTCACCAACATTTCAATAGGTTTCTTAGAGGGACTGTAACTTAAAGGATCGCTTCCTCAGCTTCTTTGCAAGTCTGGTTTCATGGCCTCTTTCGAAAAAGGTCGTGCATTCACGGCTCAGTTCGGAAAGCGGGCTGTATGGTAGCAAAGCTTCAGGAGAGCTTGGACTTAAATGACTTGTGCATTGGAGTGATGGCTCAGCTCCTGCTTTTCCCTGGGCTGTTTCCAGCTCTCGGGCCCCGGCTGCCCCTTCGCAGCCGGGGGTCGAGCTCAGCGGGCGCCCTCCTGCTTCAGAGGCAGGGGCGGCCCCGGGGGGTGTGCTGGAAACGG